AGGGTGACGGGAGCGGGAGCCGGCGCGGGGAGGGGGCACCGGTAATGCAGCAGGGGCTGCGCGCGGGAGAGGGCGATTTAATATGAAATGGTATTTAATATGAAATACGAAGTGACTTGCTCCAGCTTCGAGGGCGCTTTCAGGGTGGCTTTGTTAAAGAAACCTTGGGTCCGCGGTGCCGGCGAGTGCAGTGAAGGGAGAGAGAAGGAGAAGACCAGTTCACAACCGTTTTTAATATTACGTATGGGAAAAGTTAGACGTTAGCTTTCTGCTGTTTTGTCACATTTTGTAAATGATAATTTGGCACAGTTGCACATTGGTAATACAGCAGAAACAGTTTTGCACTAAAACATTAAAATAATACAAATAGCGGCACCTAAAACCAGAGGAGTTTTCTCCCTCACCATACTCACTGCATGTGTGTATCTACTGTATGTCAGAAAAAATAAAATGACACTTGAAAAGTATCTCCCCTTTAACTTAAGGTTTTGATTAGGCATGTAGTGTATCTAAAAATTACAGTGCTTACAGTAGCAGACCTTGTAATTTCACATGCATAACGTGGAGGGAAAAAAGGCATTAGGATCATTTTATTGAAATCAGAATTATGACACCTAATGCTCAAATCACATTTAAGCAATTATTACTAGACTTCAAAAATACCAGTTTTGTTGAAAACATGTTAAAAGAGTATTTGCACAAGTCTCATTTACAGTCTGTTCTATAGACAATTTCAGATAAACCGATAGACTACTGCTTGCAACCGTATTAAACTGTGCACGTAAGTTTTTATCTCAACTAGAGAGGGCTCCTCATACGTATCTATAACCTAAGAGCTTGACTTGCCCCTTTTTTAAAATCATTGCTTTTTTGAGAGCAGGAAAGAAGAAAGGTGAAAAATGTTAATGACAGTTTTTTTGTTTTCTCACAGTCCTCCCTGGTTCATCTGGAAGAGGGGGCGGTCAGAGTGACTCCACCCTGTTCTTTTTTTGCTCAATTTACTGTCCAGGTGAACTGTTACAGCTCTTGTTAAAAAACCAAACAAACTTGCTAATTAGACAGAAGAGATCCACATACATCTGCCAATATGCAGATCTGGGCTTTGGTGAAGAACACACAGTAAGAGCCCAGTGCTCATGAAAATCTAGATTCTCCCATAGGCTCGACTGCAAGTAGGTTCTGATTCCCCTGACATGAGGCACAGTCTTGAATTCATTAAATGTATTTACATGCTTTCTTGAATTGGGACTTTTGTCATTGTCCATCAGGAACAATTGCTACAAAACCCACGTAAGAAAGCTCCCTTTTGAATTTAATCACCAGTGCTGTAATTCTCAACTATGTGGAAGAAGATGGGGAAGGAAGAAGTTCTTAAACTTTACTTTTTTTTTTTAATAGTGTCACAAACAATTATAAGGCCAAAATACACAATATTAAATAGAAAATCTAAAATTAAGTTGCTGGTATGCAGTGAAAAAAAATGAGGTATACAAAATATTTTTACAATTGTGCGTAAATTTGCAATAGTTTTCAAAAGGTGCTTTTCCATTTTCAGCTAGTGGTTCATTGTCCAAGTGATCTTCATGTATACAAGTAACTCTAATTGTGACCAGTTAAAAAATACAATGTATTCAATAGCTAATGGTTCTTCAGAACTCTTTTTTTTTTTTTTAAACATTACATTTATTGTAACAGCAGTAATGTAGCAAAATAAGACTATACCCAAAACATCTCATAATCTGCGGTTGATATATCATATTTACTGTTAGAAATGAAAGTGACTTTATTTTTCAGTTTACTTTGGATGTTGACATGTGAAAAGCACACTGAGCATTGGCTCAGACTTAAGAAATTGTCAGGACTTATCCTGGAGAAAATAAGATGTAAAACAGAAAAAAAATGGCAGTGCCAAGTATTTTTTCTCCTTCCACATCCTATTGGCAACTGATAAAAGCACACAAAGATAATGTAATTACACTTGACTTCAAAAAAAGAATTTTAAAGTTATAAAACTTTTGGCTGAGCATTTCCCTGAGTCTTCATTTTTTAAAATCATATGCTAGACATTAAGTTCATAGAGTCTGTTACAAAGGGCTTGATTAATAAAGGCTGTTTAGCTATATATGCAAAAGTTAGGTACTTTTATTCTTAAAAAGCCTAAGCAAGAACTGCTGAGGAAGCAACCCGATTTTTCAGAATCTGGTATTTTTCCTAAGCAGAAAAGCAAACTTCACATACTTTTGCATTAAGACTTTGATAATCTGAAATTACACCACACGATTCATGATCTGTACTTTGTGAACAAGTCTAACAGGGATATCTTTCAGGGCAAGACCAAAACAAAAAACTCTGGGACCGCTACATAATTAAAAAAACTTTGGTTTTTATAATATTTTATGAGAAAATAGAAGGCACAACTGTGCATCAAAACTACATGATTTTGTATTTTAATCTGCTTACATTGTTTTTATCAGCACGTCAGACTTTCTGTAAGTCTGTACTGTAAAGATGTATTTTAGTAACAGTAATTGTAATAAGCTTTCCGTATTACCGAAATACAAGAAGACTATTAGCAAGAAGGCATCTTTGAAACAGGTACATTCCACAAGAGAAGAACTGGTGTCCATCCACTAAAAATTCACCATTCCAGCTCTACGGGATACTCTCCAGTGAGACACGCTATGCAGTGACCAATCTTTCCAACGCGCGATTTCTGGGTTTTAAGGCTGTTCTCATTCTCTTGTCTTGCTTTGATGCTTTCTTGCACGGACGATACCAGCCCTTCCACAGAGAGATAGACAACACTGTCTGCTCCTAGAGGAAATAAAGAATTCATCAGTTAAAGCTGCAATATTGTACCAAATGGAATGCGCTTCGGAAATGCAGTCTCATTATTGTATGGAGGTGGATCACCTTACCTAAAGAGAATGAATATGAAAAATTATCAGATCATAGTAAGCCTTGCCCTTCTCAAATTCTTTGTGCAGGGAACAGACTCACTGAAATCTAGACAGAAGGTTCTGAGTTGGGAACAAATATGTCACACATACTGCAAAAATAGAAGCAAAATCCAGAGTGTGTGTTAAGACTCCCTACACTCCTATAGTTTCCCAGAGTTACCTGTAGTTCGGGTCTGGAAGCAGATGTGTGCGTGCCTGGTGCTTCCCAAACTTCCCAAACCTAGGACTACAAACCCGTACTGGGACTTGGAGGAGGGGAAGACCGTCATGCTAAAAAACCAATTCCGTATGCAGTTCACGCAAATGCTCTAGCAGTAGGAAAGCTTGATAGCCTTTTCACATCATTAGTTTTCTATAGTTTGCACTCATTGTTTTGTGAATAATACTTAAAAATGAGATCCTACAAACTTGAAATATTTCAACATGCCTTCACAGTAATTTTGGGGAAAAGAGTTCATTGCAATATTAGACAGTGAAAGCAAGTATTTAACACAGGAAATCCGAGTTTACAGTTTCATAACTGTAACCACAGCTATGTTCTTAAACCATTTTTTAAAATATTTTGCATCACAATAGGCCATATATAGTAGATCTCCTCACTCACAAGCCTTCGCATGACTTCTGTTGCTGATATCCTGATGAAGAGCATGTTACTTACCACATCACAAGCAACATAAGCTGTTGGTTCTTCTTTTGTTCTGCTGCAAACATGACTCATTCTAGAGATTCGAGAATGTATTTAACATTCTTTGATTAGTTTCAAATGTCATTTCTTTCAAAGTGAAATATATAATGCAGTTTAAATTATTTACATAAATTTAAATTTGTAGAAAAATCAGTGGGTGTTTACAAATTCCGAACATATTTTTATGAATATCACATGAAAGTGAAACTACATTAGCTTTTCATTACAGGACAGATTTTCACCACATATTTTCTTCCTGGTATTTTGCCTACGTAGCTCCTTGTTGTAAAGACCTTCCCAGAAGGAGCTCTAAGTACTGGAAAGCTGTGTTGTCACACCTTATTTGTAACTTATGATTATGCAATTATTCTAATGCCTTCTATTGTTTGGAGAAATATAATTCACTAACTGTGTTAAAAAAAAGTGTGTAACTAAATTGGTTTGATCCGTAGGATACTCGCAGAAATTTAGTGTATCAACCTTATGATTTTTTAGTCAGTTTTGCCACTGTTGCCTTGATGTGTTGTCCTTTATTTTCATGCAGACAATAAAACACCTACAGGTAAAATCTCTCTCTCAAAAAAAAAAAAAAAGCTAAAAAAAAAAAAAAGTAGCATTTACCTATATAGTTTGCAAGATCATGAAATTCAGGTCTGTTGGCAATGAGTTCTTCTTTAGTTGGAATGTTTATTCCCATGTAACAAGGAAATCTTATGGGAGGTGAAGCCACACGGATGTGCACCTGAATAAAAATAGAGTTTCAAAACAGACCGCTATAAGGTAAAAGTCAGCAGATCATAACACAATAGCAAAGTCCCAGTTCTGCAAAATAATCATGAAGAACAGAACACAGCACTACACAGAAGTCGTGGAAGGGTTAAAAGTAAGATAAAGTTTTTTTCAGATGCCAACACAGCAGGAGAGAGAAAGACAGTTTTAGAATTTATTTTTACAATATTTCCTAATGTTATTAAGGTTTCATCCTGATTTTGCTTTTCTTCTATGGTGTTCCATCCTTGATTCACATGTTTCAGTTTACAAAGTCAAATACTATACAGAACATTTTTTCTCCAGTGACAGGGTTGCACATTCTGTTTCCATTAAAAAATTTTAATCAATTAAAAATTTTGTGCTCTGGCGACTTAAGGCATGTACCTGTCTGCTGCAGTACGTGGTTGTACTTAATGCAGTACCACAAGTCACACACATATCAGGAATACCACACCGATACTTGATTTTCTGATCTTACCTGATCTGTTTTCCATTCTTTCTTTGTTTGCCACATAGTGCTTTATAAATGGAGACCTGTTCCTCCCCCTTTAATGTCCCCAAAATCACAGTCATACAAAAGAAACTTCTCAACCTATCTTCACAATAAACATGCACTAGCCATTTTTTTGCACATTTCCTCTTTTAAAGAAGGAAACAACGTATAGTACAAATAAAGATAAACCCCTGTGTTTTACCCTCCCATCAATCTCTATTTACATCTGTATTGTACTGACTGAAAATTAACTTACCTCTTTTGCTCCTGATTCTCTCAGTAGTTTTATTATGGGTGAAATGGTATTGCCCCTCACAATTGAATCATCAATAATAACAACTCGCTTGCCTTTAAAATTATCAGACAGAACACCAAACTTCTTTGCAACACCAAGTTGCCGTAACCTCATATTTGGCTGGATAAACGTTCTTCCTACATATCGGTTTTTACAGAGTACTTCAACATATGGTAGTCCGCACTGTAAACAGGAGACGATTAAACAGAATTAGTATCTATAAAACTCGTTATTCTCACTTACCGTTTTTTAAAGCAATCTTAGGACTTAGTATGACTTCACAGTAACCAAAGAACTTTGAAATACCTTAATATAGTGGAATAACAACACAAAAAAAACCTGCAGATGACTCAATAGGAGTACCCGGCATACTCAAGATATAAAGCTTTATCAATACAAAACTCTAATGGCCTGTACCATAATACCCTATTACAAAAAGAGGTATGTGTAAATATGTTGGGGAAAAAAAAGGCAAGTTAATATATACCTTTTCAGCATAACCAAGAGCTGCTGGGGTTGCAGACTCTGGAACAGTGCTGACCAGGTCTGCTTCCACAGGTGCTTCAATAGCAAGCTGCTGCCCGCATCTTCTCCTGACTGAATACACCATCTGACCTAAGAACAGCAAGAAGTGTTTTTCCTGGTATGCATAATTCAGATTTCCTCTCAGTTTGCTGTACAAATTTCTGTGGCAAGTTGCAGGCATAGAAGTCAGTGAGAAAAGCTCCAGAACTAATAAGCAGTCACTCACATAAGGTCATTTTTTATCTCTTTCCATAATGTCATATTCTTACATTCACATTCGTATCACTACACAGAGAATTAAAATCCAGTTTGCCCTAATCAGGTAACCAAAGGTCCTGTGGATGTTACAAAATCTATTTACAGAAGGAAAGAAGTAAAAATTATGCTTGCCTTTTCGTAACGTGCATATTCTATTTTTAGGCTGGTTTCTCCAGCAGACAAAGTTTGTGCAATCCTGCTGTCTGCCTCTGCTCGCTTATTAACTTCGAATCAGTTGGCAAAATTCACCCCAAATTTAGTAAGAGGATAAGAGGCCTCAGAAGCTTCTAAGGTCCTAAAAAATTTGCAACATTGTAGGGAACTGGAGGTATTGTCATGAGATGAGGCACAGCAAAGGGTACAGCAGCAGTACTAAGGAATGTAAGAAGTGAGGATATTGAAGGGTAAGAGGATCATGAAAAAAAGAGATGTGGGGTGAAACTGGCTTTATAAAAGTGGGGAACTGTATAGAATCAACAGATGGCATGGCCATAGAAAGCAAAGAGCTTGTTTGTTAAGTATGAGAGTCCTGTCACTGAGACAATTTTTGAGGGCTTCTACTGAAATAATAATAAAAGCATTAGACTGACAACCCCAAGTACTTAGATAATGCATAGATTTACTAGTTACATTAAAAGCATCTTCCTGAAATAACCCTTTTTTGCAAAGAAAATGCCAAGATAAAGTTGTTTTGCAGATCCTATTTCATAAGTCTAATTTTTAAAAAGTTTTCCAAGAACCAATAAAGTTCCTTTCTTAAGCTTCTCACTTTTAAGGGATATTTCCTCTACCTTAATCATGTTTGTGGCTCTTTTCATCCCTTCCATAGGATGATGCAGGCAGCCTGACTGAAGCCATATGCACAGTCAGGAACCGGAAGGTGATGTTACATGCCCCTTCTGATGAGTTTCATGTCCTCAAGAACTGTCCCAGCCCTGCTCTGCAAGCTCACATTCAGTGGTACCCTACTATGATCCCAGATCCTTTCCAGAGTCATTGTTCTCCAGGATAACATCTCCCACTATTTAGGGAGGAGCTTTGTACGTTACATCTTCTTACCTTCAAAAATACTGTCCGGTCTTGCAAAATAAACATATTCAAAGATGCAGAATGCTGACGGATCTCCTTCAGGTCTTGGTACAACATCCAGTGTCTGGACATCATATCTGGATATTTTCACAATCTCTCCAGGAAGGACCTCACGATAGTACCTTGAAAGAGAAATACATAGCATTTAGAAATGTCCTGAACCTGCATGATAGTTTTGAAATATAAACAAGATTCAACTGACATGAAAAAATGCTTTTGAACATCCTAACACAACAATTTGCTTCTATTTAGGATTTGACCTGGAGTGTTTTAAGACCAACAGTCTAAGACAAATGACCCATACTAAAACAGTCTGAATTAATACCCAAAAGCAGTAAATTAATACTTAGTATCAGAGAATTATGGTATTCTTCCTATATGTGAGACGTACAGTACTCAGTCTAGTACAGGCTTAATTGAAGTTAAATATATTTTAATAATTTAGTCCTGGATCAATACTAGAGGACTTTTCTATGAAAGCTAATAAACATTATAATGCAATATGAAAAACATAATCAAGAATAAAGATGGTAACCAAAAAAATCCTGCCCCACAAGCCAACATCTAGAGAAATAGCTGTCTAGTGGTGACAGGCAGCTACTCCCAAATGACATAAAGCTGACTGGAAATGTACATTTCAATTCTCATATCTGAAGAACTATGGAATAGTACTAGATTTATTATGTTACAATGCTTAACCTTATTAAACATTTTTCTAGATCCTTTAGTGAGTCCTCAGGTGGCTATTCTAACAATTTCAATAAATCTATCCCAAAATATTGAAATATTCTGGAGATATAAATCAGAGGTGAGCAAATCTGTGATTATTTGCTGGTCAGATACTAGCATTACCAGGCAGCACCACTGGCTACGGCAGAAGTTTAGACAAAATTGTTTTTTTAAAAACTCACAGGCTTCAGCTGATGGTCCTACATGGTAAGCTTCTCTTAACAGAGATTTTGAAGAAGTTTCAGAAAACGGTTATTCTTATCCATACGTAGAATAAATTGTCTCAAGAAAGCCCCTGTTACTAACAGCTAATAGTTCCTACAGAGACAGGGTAGAAATTACAGCAAAAGAACACAGAACACACAGTGTAAAACACTGCAGAATGGAATAAAAGACCTCTGAAGTGCAGTCACGTTGCTTCCTGATATTACTTTACACTTCTTTTTATTCAATAATTGTGTTCTTAATGCAATTTTTCACAATTTTTTATTTGAAGAGGATCCAACTTTACTTACTAGTCTAGTCCCCAAACGCACATTTTTATAATATCCGATTAGGAAATTAAATTAAATATGCTTCCTTATAATCCTTCTTGCTTTAATCATGTTCTAGTTCACAATTGCCTTCCACTCCAAACTTCTAAAGATCAATCTGTGGTCTCCTGAAGAACCTCTTGCCCTTCTCTTCTTGTCCAGAGAAAGTATCACACCTTTCTTTTCAGAGTATTTTAGCTAGAGAGGTAACGTGAGTGTCATCTCATGTTTTGGCTCGATGGGTGTTTGCACGCATGGAAATAATTTCAGATGCCCATCATTTTTTTCAAACAAGGAGACTGGCTCGTCAGACAGCATATGCTACAGCTCAGGTTAGTCCAGCCTGTGAGCTACCAATGTAACCTTTCAGTAGTTGAAGAATTATTTTGTAATACAACGACTCTGCTGCAAACAAGGCTAAAACTAAGAAGTTATATGGATAACCAGGCTAAACACAACAAGTAAGAGGCAACAGTAAAGTCATTTTTACTGTTACTTTCTGAACACATAATTCTTCTTTTACATTAATCTGTTCAAGAAAATCAACTGGCAAAAACAGGACTGACCCCTCCAAACAGCCCAACAAACTAGTCCTTGATGTCTTTCATGTTGTTATAGATTATGATATTTGGCAATTTGAGATTTAATGTTTAATTGCTGCCTGACGAGAGCTTTCAGATAAAGTGAGAATCAGGGAACTTACTCTGCACCGATAGACAAAAAGCTACAGGATTCAGATGAGACTACCCATCCTTCTGTTTCACTGTTATCTTTTCCTGAAATGGAAGATTTCAGTCAGAGTCCACAATTCTTGTTACCATTACCCACCCCAATTACACTTCTACTGCAGTATCTGGCTTGCTATGGTTTAGGCTGCCAACTACACAATTAAAAACTGTTGTAATTTCTAACTAAAAGGTATAGCATTCCAAAGTTTCTGTAACATTATTTTAAAAAAAAAAACGTAAACATCATAAACCTGTTCTAGGCAGAAGTGGAAGTAACAGCGTCATATTCACAGTTCATGAAGAAAGACAATTCAGATAACTACCTTTGTTATCTCTGCACTATTTCAAACTTTTCCAATTCTAGTTCAGTGACTTTAGATATACATAATTACTTTTGTTCACACAAGAAACTCCTTACTTTTGCTATGCTAAATGTGTTGATAGACAGATCCTTTTGACTACAATGATGCTGGATTGAACTCCAATAAGGAGAGTTTTCAGAGACAGGCACAGGAAAGATTGAATTGTGTAACGTTCAATAGGGTAGGAATGTTTGTATGCTTTAAAAAAATCTTGATAATTTTTCTTGTGGTTAAAATACCAAGTTTTGTGAAGATATGGAAGCATTCATTACTTTGCCTTTGAATTATTTTATTTTTATACAAATGAACAGATTTTAATCTCACTTCATGGAAAATGTTGATTTGCAGGCTAAACAGGAACACAAAGAATTTTTCCCATAAATTGATTGTATAGTGTTCCATTACCATATTACATGTGACTGGGAGTGCTTGGAATTTAGAAATACATTGCCAGTAATCCAGCACTTTTCGGACACTTTACCACGGGAGAAAGGAAGAAACCAGACTTGTTTCTGGACTGGACATACTTCTGGGCAACTGGCTCTAGGTGGTCCTGATTGAGCAGGGAGAATTGGTTTAACTGAACTATTTCTTTTGATGCATGTTGAATGTGATTGCCCCTTGGAGACTACAGGAGACCCACATGTGTGAGTTATTACATAAATATTGAGGGGGAGAAAAAAAGGTGTATCACATTAAATTTTTTCCTGTTTCCTATTGTTGCAGTTTTGTTTTTTCCAACAGGATCTTTTTCTTGCAGTGCCTTGCCATATATGCCCTTTTCAACTAACAAAGCACTTACTAAAGCACATAGTAGAAATAACTTATTTCATCTAAACATAAAATACTTGTCAATAATTGCAGTTCACAGATTTATAAATAATTATATTAGAATATACAAATTTAACTTTGTTTGCAAATCAAGATGACCAGAAGACCTCCAGAGGTCCCTTCCAATCTCAACCCTTCTGTGATTCTGTTCATCCCTGCTTTCCTGTTCAGGTGATGAGATGTTAATTAAATTTTCACAACTATTCTATTACAGTTGGGCTGCCTAATTCTGACACTGTCATCAGGCGACTAGGATTCCCTTTTGCTGGGAACAGAAAAGATGTTTGCAGACTTCCTACAAATTATTTTTTTCCCTACCAACTTTTTTTTATGTTTTGAATTTTCGAAACTGACTTTTGCATCACATATTCCTACTTACACCTCAGTAAGTGTAGCTTTAATTACTTATATCAGTGATTTGACGCACAAACTATGTATGTATATGTATATGTATATTAATATACACGTATGATTTACCTTTTCCATTCATGTCTCCTACTGGAATAAGGCGACCAATGCAGAGTGGGCGATTCCCATACGGATCACGTACTGCATAGATTATGTCCTTATGCATAATTAGCAATGAATATGAAGTTGGAGTTTCATTCATTAAATTTTTTATTCTGAAATGAGACATAGGTGAACATAATCGTGTGTCACACAAACAGCTGTGTGCATTTATAGCTGCATATCATGCTGAGATTAGGTTGCTGTTCTTGATTCTGAAACCCATCCTCCTCACCTTGCTACCCAGTCGGCTGTATCATCATTTTCTAGAGGAGGTGTGAAAGCCAGCAGCTGGGTGATCAGTTCACTGTCAGAACTGGTCGACAGTCCTACACCATGCCGCATAAGCTTTTAAGACACAAAACAAAAGTGTTACCAACATTAAAAAAAAATCCCACATAACACTGCTCAGATTTTAATCTAACAACACCTTTGTGCAATGAACAAATGTTTTAAAACATATCAGTGCTTCAGGTGATCAGATCATAATAATGCCAAATTTCTTCCAATAAACCAAATATGTAAAAAGAGCTGGTACAATCATCTATGCTACATTTTTCCCTTTGCATCTCATTCCTTTGTTCCACATGCAACCAAAATTAATACCACCAATATTCAGGGCATAAATTCGTGTTTGGGCCATTTAATCAGCTTTGTGCTTCTGCTTGCTCTGGGAAGAGAGGTAAAATACACATGGGAAAATATGAAATTACCTATAGCAGATACAGAAAGAGATATCAAAGCAGAATGGTGGTTTGGGCACAAAGCAACAGCAACAAAAAAAGAGGTGTGAAGGGAAGCAGAGTGGGATTAAAAAACTGAAATCCCACAACTTAAAGTTTGCTAGACCTGGTCAGACAAATTGTTCTGTCTTGGCATATTTATGCTTCTAAGGGAGAAGAGAATCTGCAGTGCATCTAGCCAACTATTACAACCCATTCAATGCTGTATGCATTACAGTTCCTGATTTTTATCTTTAGAAATCTTTTTACATCTCATGTAACTCTGATTCTCCACTCTCCATCTACATTTCCTCATCACTGTTTTTTTCTCCCATCCAGTCATACACTTGTGGCTCTGATTAAAGACAGGCTAGGTTCCTTTGGGTATGCCATACATTTGCCTCGCTTCAATGCAACAGTATGTCTTCTCGCTTTTGGATGGAACATATTATAGAAGAGATTTCACAATGAAACATCTGCTAAATTTTAATTTGGTTCTTTAAACACATACCCTTCGAGCCAAACTCACTATAAAATTTGGCATTTGTTGGTTTATGTCCTGACAGTGCTCATGATTAATTTTGCAAGCCAGAAATACAAATAAAGACAATATTCCAAACCAGACATTTCACATTACAATGCATAAGCATATGATTTGCTCCTTCTATCAGCCACCACAAAGGAGCAGAGCTTCAAGCCAGGCTACCTTTTGTAATGGCTGAATTAGTTTTCTCACTTGATCAATAGGAATGTGACCATTAGCCTAGAGGATTGGTGAATTATCTCCTGTGACAGTCACAAAAGCCTTCCCTCCCCAGGGTTTTTTTCCCCCCAAATGATCTATTTTGATTATGGGGCTCTTTCACTACCCCAGCAGTTTGGTATTAAGGAAAAGCCATAGCAAACTTATTGCTCATTGCTGCCTCATACTCAGAAAGATACGATGCCAGAGCCTCCCAAAGGAGGTACTAACCTTCCTCCTGAGTCGTACAGCATTTGTTAGCTCCCCGTTGTGTGCCACAGCGATCTTCCCATGAAGAGTCTCTACGACAAAAGGCTGGCAGTTCTGCAGCTCAGAAATTCCCGAGGTGGAGTACCTCGTGTGCCCTATACCGAGGTTTGAAACGTACAGTTTCTTCAGGCTGTCTGCATTGAAGACATGATTTATAAGACCCATTCCCTTCGGGAGAAAAAGAAAAAAAAGTTCTGTTTGGTTTTGTTTTCCTGGCATCTTCCTCATTTCTCCTTGTGTTTGTTTTTGGTACAGCATTAATGCAAGCAACTTTAAGAGAAAGGCAAATAACCTGAAAGACATGGGAAAGAAAGAAATGGAGTAGGTGTCACAGTGATACATCGGATCCCATTACTCCTGTTTTTAAATAAAGCAATAATACATTTTTGTGCTGAGGATTTTCATGGAACAATCTATTCCCTGACTAAAAATACATCTTCTGAAAAACACTACCAAACTGTTGTGTTGTTTAAAACACCAGAAAAAAGACTGCCAGAAGACAGGCAAAGAAGAAAAAAGTTGTGAGAAGGAAATTCTATGTAGAAAATACCTTTTACAAGTTTGCAGTATATTGGATTTACTTTTACACTGGGTCTATTCTTGCCAATGTCAGAAGTAAAGCTTTTTTCAAGAGGTTTTATTGTTTACTTAAAACAAACTTTTCATATAGCCAGGTTGTCTTCTATCTAAAGCAGAAATGCATCAAAACTTTATTAGTCAGCTGTCAGGAGCTTCTTTTGGCAACAAGCACTATGTGGAGACAACTTAGCAGCAAGAATAGTCTGAAAAAACTGCACAGAGAGTAGAAATTAAGACTGGATTCCAGGCCCTCCTACAAACTTCTGCTTCTGCTGCTGCCTGTGGAAAATATTTACATCCTTCTATGCTTGGTTTCCCTATCATGCATGGTAATTATGATGTACATGATAGCACACATGATAACACTCTTATAGGACCTTCAAAGATACATGGGAGAGGCCTGAAGCTGTGAACGGTTCATAACCTGTGCTGTAGGTACAACAAGAAGAGAGTGGGATGGGCCAGGAAGGACAGAAATTGTTTGAACTGTTTTCAGAGCTCAACCAAAAGAACTTAAAGAAAGCTCAGCTTTAGGGTATTTTCTGCTGTGACCGCTATATAGTCAGCATTCCAAAAGGCTCTGGTTGCACATGTGGTTTTAGGGTACTTACTATCACCTTAAAAAGTGATATCTACTATCACTGCCTCAAACTGTCAAACCGGTGTAAGTTTGCTTTAAGCATTCAGCAAACTTTATGGCAGATCAGTTATCATCTGTTGTCTCACAGATGACATAAAGGTGGCCTAGAGTCTATGTCATGTGCTTGTATATGTACAGAAATGCAACCATGCACTCTTATTTTACTTAGGCCAACTTTATCCTAACAGGAGATCTGGCAGTTCACAGGTCCAGTATTAATGGATGTGGCCACATTAACCATTGCAATAGCTTAAACAAACAATGTTGTTTTAAACCAGATTTGGTTACACAAGTACATAATCTTTTAATTGCAGTTTGAAATATTCCTCTGATTTAGATTGCGCTGGTGTGGGATGGCGAATGTGAATTACACCAGTATAAAAAGTTCCCAATTAAGACAATCTTATGTCTGTATTATACAAGGCCTGGTACACGCCAGAACATGATAATGGTCTGATGAATAGCTACTCTAATATATTTTTCTGCATATCCAAGTGTGAAACAATCAGACAAAGTCTTTCTCCTACTGGCATCACTATGTCTATACAAGAGATTTAGGTTTTTCCACATCCTGAGCTAATAGAGCTAAGACAGTAAAGTTTTGTTATACAAATCTAGCTGAAAGGCTCTGACAGACAAATCTGGACGCGTCTTTCTGGGAGAGTTTAAAACAAAGAATTAATAGCCTTTGCCAAGGGCCATTAATCCATGGTCAAAGACTGGTAACAATCAGAAAGGAACACATACCCATGTCTCAGGTGTTCCAGTTCGTACTCTAATATATGTATTGCCTTAAACTGTTGACAAAGATGAGTTTGCACGGAAGCATTGGGTAGTAAATCAATGCAGTGAGAAGCAGGCACCTTTTCCATCCTGTTGTCTCTGCTATGAAGAAGAGTCAACCGGAATTAGGAGGACAAGTGGATACAGTAGCATCTTAGCTGCTGACCTTTTTATGGGCTAGTTTACCAGTCAGAGTCCTAAATGTATTTTCACCAGTGTAACAGACCCAAACGTTTGTCACATTAGCAGCACTTCCAGGATTAAACAAGTCATATAAATTGTACTCCACAGGCTCTTTATTACACTGTGGTTATTACAGATTTTAAAAGCGCTGTAGCTGAGAAACATATTTCAAGGATAAAAGAAACCATCACATGCTCTGCAACTCTTAAAATATCAAAGCTGATTATGATGAGATAGTCAATTAAATTCTTAGCATGATAGCTAAGTATTGCAGCTCAGTAACATGGAAACATTACAAATTATGATATCACCTGCTGGAAGTTCATTCTGAGAAGCTCGTTTTGCTATGGGATATATACAGCAGCCCACTTTAAAGGAAGCTGGAATTTCTGTAAACCTTAAGGAAAGCTGAAACTCAAGCAGGAGCA